AAAGAAGTTGCTGTGGCCAATGTTGAGGAGGTTACTGTCTGTGTTCTCCTCTAGGATTTTGATGGATTCCTGTCTCACATTGAGGTCTTTCATCCATTATAAGTTTTCTGAGTACAGGTCATTTGCCTCTTGGGTTAGTTTTATTCCTAGATATCTTATGGGTTTTGGTGCAATTATAAATGGGATCAGCTCCTTAATTTGTCTTTCTTCTGTCTCATTGTTAGTGTATAGAAATACAACTGATTTGTGTGCATTGATTTTATATCCTGACACTTTGCTGAATTTTTGTATGGGTTCTAGCAATTTTGGGTTAGAGTCTTTGGGGTTTTCTACATAGAGTATCATGTCATCTGCAAAGAGTGAGAGTTTGACTTCTTCTTTGCTGATTCCGATGCATTTTATTTATTTTTGTTGTCTGACTGCTGAGGCTAGGACTTCTAGTGGTTTGTTGAACAGTAATGGAGAAAGTGGACAACCCTGCTGTGTTCCTGACCTTAGGAAAAATGCTCTCAGTTTTTACCCATTGAGGGTGATATTTGCTGTGGTATTTTTCATAGATGGCTTTTATGATATTGAGGTATGTTCCTTCTATTCCTACCCTGTGACAAGGTTTTTTTTTAAGATTTTATTTATTTATTTGACAGAGAGAGATCACAAGTAGGCAGAGAGGCAGGCAGAGAGAGAGGAGGAAGCAGGCTCCCTGCTGAGCAGAGAGCCCGATGCGGGGCTCGATCCCAGGATCCTGAGATCATGAACTGAGCTGAAGGCAGAGGCTTAACCCACTGAGCCACCCAGGTGCCCCACCCTGTGACAAGTTTTAAACAAGAAAGAATGCTGTACTTTGTCAAATGGTTTCTCTGCATCTATTGAGAGCATCATATGGTCTTGACCTATCTTTTATTCATGTAGTGTGTCACACCAATTGCTTTGCAGACATTGAACCAACTTTGCAGTCCAGGAATAAATCCCACTTGGTCATGGTGACTAATCCTTTTAATGTACTGTTGGATCCTATTGGCTAGTATCTTGGTGAGAATTTTGGCATCCATGTTCATCAGGGATACTGGTCTGTAATTCTCCTTTTTTGGTGGGGTCTCTGTCTAGTTTGGGGATCAAGGTAATGCTGGTCTCAGAGAACAAGTTTGAAAGTGTTCCTCCCATTTCCAGTTTTTGGAAGTGCTTCAAAAGAATAGGTATTAATTCTTCTTTTAAATATTTGGTAGAATTCCCCGTGGAAGCTGTCCAGACTGGCATTCTTGTTTGCTGGGAGATTCTTGATTACTGCTGTTGGGGTCCGTTATCAAAGGAACGAGACTGAGACAAAGTGAAAGTTATGCAAAGCCTTATTCTATGCCAAGCATTAGAAGTTGGACTGACCGGCCAGGGAACGAGACTGAGACAAAGTAAAAGTTATGTGAAGCTTTATTCTATGCCAAGCATTAGAAGTCAGACTGACCAGCCAGGGCCACCTCCGAAGAGAGCGCCCCCTCCCAATCTCACAGGCTGGTTTTATAGGGCATAACCGCAGACCCAAGGTATGTGGCTTTTATTGTTAAGGCATTTACTCCCGGAATCGATACCTGGAACCATACCAGGAACTACTGGGGCATTTATTCCCGGAATGAAGTCCATGGATGTAAACAACAATATGGCTACCTAGGCAATATGGAGTTGCTCTGGCTAAGCAGGCCCTAATAGTTAAACAGGTTTTAACATTAAATTGGCCCTAACAACTGCTTCAATTTCCTTGCTGGTTGTGGATCTGTTTAGGTTTTCTGTTTCTTCCTGTTTCAGTTTTGGTAGTTTCTATGTCTCTAGAAGTGCATCCATTTCTTTCAGACTGCCTAATTTGTTGGCATATAATGGCTCATAATATGTTGTCATAATTATTTGTATTTCTGTGGTGTTGGTTGTGATCTCTACTCTTTCATACATGATTTTATTAATTTTGGTCCTTTCTCTTTTCTTTTTGGTAAGTCTGACCAGGGTTTTATCTATCTTATCCATTCTTTCAAAGAACTATCTCCTAGTTTCGTTGATCCGTTCTTCTGTTCCTTTGATTTCTATTTCATTGATTTCTGCTCTGATCCTTATTATTTTTTTTTCTCCTACTTTATTTGCTGTTCTTTCTCCAGCTCCTTTAGATGTTTGGTTAGGTTAGGTTGTGTATTTGAAATCTTTTTTTTTTTTTTAAGATTTTATTTATTTATTTGACACAGAGACAGAGATCTCAAGTAGGCAGAAAGGCAGGCGGGGGGGGGGGGGGGGGGGAAGCAGACTCCCTGCTGAGCAGAGAGCTTGATATGGGGCTCGATCCCAGGACCCTGAGATCATGACCTGAGCTGAAGGCAGAGGCTTAACCCACTGCACCACCCAGGTGCCCCTTGAGATCTTTTTTGTTTCTTGAGGAAGACTTGTAGTGCTATGTACTTCCCTCTTAGGACTGCCTTTCTTGCATATCAAAGATTTTGATCAGTTGTGTTTTCACTTTCATTTCTTTTCATGAATCTTTTAAATTCTTCTTTAATTTCCTGGTTGACCCATTCATTCTTTAGTAGGATGCTCTTTAACTTCCAAGTATTTGAGTAACTTTTGTGTTAGATGTCCTTCTTCTAGGTTCCCATGGAGCACTGTATTTCCTTTATCACAGACTTAACACATGACATTGTACCTGAGGGTTTTTTCATTTGATCTACCGATTGCAAATTCCTTGTAGTCTTCATCATTGGTTATCCAATTCATAGTACATGGTGGTAGGTACTCCATAAATTTTTACTGAATGAGTAGATGGATGGGGATGAGAGGGAGGAGTTTCCAGCTCCCTATAACTGGATGCCATTCACTTATTTATATACTGTACTTCCTATGGGTGAGGAATCTTGCTGGCACTGAGCCACAATGATGAATAAAACCATGGCACATCTATTCAAAAATCTCATTGTCTAGGGTCACCTGGATGGCTCAGTCATTTGAGCACCTGACCCTTGATTTCACCTCAGGTCAAGATCTCAGGGTTGTGAAATCAAGCTCCACATTGGGCTACACACTCAGTGGGGAGTCTGCTTGTGATTCTCTCTCTCCCTCTTCCTCTGCCTCTTCTCCCCTCTTTTTTCCTCTCTCTCTCTCTTTCTCTCAAATAAATAAATATATTTTTTTAAAAAACTCATTGTCTAATGGGAAAAGAATAAATAAATAACTGCTGAATTGCTAGAAATTATATATAAACATAGTACTGGGAACAGTTAGAAAATACTTCAGAGAGAAAGTATAGTATCTGAGGTGGGATTTTAGAGATGAATGGTAACTATCCAGACAAAGCAACAAGGAAAGGGAATTCTTGACATTAAGAACCATTGTGTATAAACATACAATTGTGTAAAAACATAGCATCTTTACAGAAATGAGAGAAATTGAGTGTGGTTGGAGTGGTGGAATGTCAGTACTCAATGCCCCATAAGATCAATGAGTATCAGAGGTGTTTAAATAAAGGATGAGAAGTGATATAATTGGATTTCATATTAGAAATATAATTTTATGATAGTTTCGAAAGTACACTGAAATGGCAGTGTTGGAGGTCCCATACCAGTTTGGGAACTTGTTGTAGAAAATCAAGTAAAAGATCAATGAGAATATGAGGTAAGTTAGGAACAGGTAGGAGAGGCATCATTCAAGAGAAATTTCTGATGGCTTGTTGACTGGTTGGATGTATGAGGTCAGTCAAAAAGAGAAAATGCAAATACCTCACTGTCTAACTTGGGAAATGAGATGCTTGATTGCTCATTAAATGAGATTAAGTACATAGGAGGCTTTCCTTTCCTAGCAGAAGAGAGACTTACTGAGTTTGAAATGTATCCAGTACCACAACCAGGGAGAGATATAGAAAGGCAGTTGGACATATTAATCTGATGCTGAGAAGAAAGGTTATGCCTTGTGATATAAATTTTGGAGTCATCAGCATGCAGATGAGAGTTAGAGCCCCAGTAGTGAGTGAGATACTCAGATCTACTATACATAATAAAAGTGCTCAGTTTTGACTGTATCACAATCATGTGTGATTTTTCATAAATATAAATACCTGTGCCTCATCCCTAGAGAGTGTGATTCAGTGGGTCAAGATGGGGGCCTGAGCTTTTTATAAAAAATTCAATGAGTTATCATTATAAGCAGCCAGAGTTGAGAACATCCACTGTGAGCATAAAGGGAAAAACCCCTGGAATCTAATGACATTTAAGGATTCACAAAAGAGGAAGAACTAGTAAAGGAGACAGAAAAAAATTGTTCAGAGAAGGAAGAGGAAATACAGGGAGAGTATTATCCTGGAACCCAGAGGAGAATAGAATTCCTTTAACACACCAGTGATGCTCAGAAGATTGTGACAAAATTCCTTCAGAGATCAACTTGCTTTTGAGAATTCCAGCAATATTTTTAGATACAGAATAAAATTAATCTTTTACAACTTCTAAAACTTCTTTTTATCAACTCAACTAGAAAAACCTCTTTTCTGAATTTCTTTTTTTGTATCCCTTATTATTTTCCTATTTAATATGTCCTTGTATTAAAGCTATTTGAGTATAATTATTATTAAAATATTTTGGTTTCATAGGGTCTTTTATATATATTTTGTCATTATTGCCCACTGTTCCAAACATGTTGCATATAGGAACCTTTCAAAAAATATTTCTCAAACAGATGGTTGTTGCACTATCTTTAGGAGTTCATAATCTAGATGGGAAGGCAAGAACATGTGAAATAATGATTCAATCAAATATATCAAAATATTAAGTACCTCAGATTTTTAAACTATAATTCTCATTTTTAAATCAACTATATTACCCCTGGAATTTATGTGACTGAAAAATCATTTTCAGCAAGGTAAAAATTGTTGCCAGCTGGTATAAATGCATGGAAACATGTTTGTGGTGTAAACATTTATATATTTATTTAACAAACATAAAATATGAATTCCAATTTACTTGTTTTCTCCTTTTTTCCTGTTATAGAGGATAAGGATCCTAATTTGGAAGCAATGTTGAGTATCCCATCAGCTCTTACTACAACAGTAGTTCCTCTTATAGTGACTGTTCCTCAAAGCAAAGTGAAAGGAAAAACAAAAGGCAAAGAAAAACCTAAAGAATCTCTTAAAGAAGAGGAACACCCAAAAGAAGAAGAGAAAAAGGTACATGGACTTACCATTGATTCCTAAACCCTACTTCTACCTCAGTTTTAACTTTTTTAAAATCATGAGTTACACCAACAGTATCATTTCAGTACATGTATATTGTTGTGCAGATGTATTAACATTCCTTGAAGTTTCAATTTTGAATGAAAAGAAGAGATTTGTACACAGGAGTTGGATCCCTACACCAGGAGACATATTGTCATGTACAAACTGATTCAGGTCTTCCATTCTAAACTCAGAATGAAGAGCTCACCCTTTTTTCCACTCTGGTTCTTTGTTTTTGGTTGGTTATGTTCCTACCATTCTCTAAATACTTTATTTAGTTTTGTTAGATAAGCAACAATTGAAAGAAGAACATTTCAAATTAAATAGGAAGTACTTCCATTTGGTAGATTTGGCCTTAGATATTGATGTGCTACAGGGCTTCTGGCTAAAGAGCAGTTCACCCTCTACTTCCAATACCACCAAATGCAGACACTCACAGAGGCTTTGATTCCAAATGTGTTCCTAATACCAGAATACAGATCAAAAGAATACAGACAAGAAGGAAATCACTAATGAAATCTTGAAAATTTGCTTGGTGAGCTGTACAGTTTGTACAGTGTACAAATTCTCAACTTATTCGAAGAAAAAAATATTAAAAAGTGACCAGAGCTATTGATTTCAGACCTTGGCCCTCTAAAAGTTCTGGTGTTTGTACGTTACTTAACCTCTGCACCATATTTATTTAGCTATACTGGATGACTTTTCTCAATCAGGGTACTTGACCCTTATTAAGTAAAAATTTTACAGTGTTGAGCAGAATAACCTTAGATAATTCATTAATTTACTGAAAGCAATCTGATAACCAATCAGTTCTCCCATAATTTTTAATAAGTGACAATAATAGAAGCGTGGGAGATAATTACTGATTTTATGTGTAATGATAAATTTGTCATGGCAGGTTCATGTCTTTGAACATTATTGTTCATTTTACAGAACTTCATAATTTTTCCTCTTAATTTTGCTTTGTGTTTAATTCTTTTAAAGATTTTATTTATTTATTAATTTGAGATAGAGCAAGAGTGAGAGAGAAAGAGAGAGAGAGCACAAGCAGGGGAAGTAAGAGGCAGAAGGAGAAGCAGTCTCTCCACTGAGCAGGAAGCCCAAAATGGGGCTCAATCCCAGGACTCCAGGATCATAACCTGAGCTGAAGGTAGATGCTTTACTGACTGAGCCACTCAGGTGCCCATTACTTTTTGTTTTTAATTGACTTTTGGCTAACTATTCCAAATTTATTATTTGTTAGTAACAAAGGCAGAACAACCTAAGTGATCCACAGCACAAGACTAGTTAAAATAAACTACAGGTGCAGCAACAGGGTATCAGTTGGGGTGATTTTAGAGGCTAATAAAAGAGAGCCAACTGGAAAACTGAAATGATTATCATGAGGGGTTGGTTGGAAGTAACTAAATAACTTTCATTTTGGGGTCCAAGTAACCAAACAAGGAACTCAGCATAGTTAGCATAAAATGAACTAGGATTTTTGAAGTAGACACACCCAAACTTCATTAGTTTATAAATAATCTTTTTATGTCTTTTTAATTGTTTTTACTTACTACAAAAATAATGCTTATTAGAGAAAAATAATGACACATTTCCTAATAGCATAATATCTTTAACACCCAAACTTTAAAAGATATACCAAGTCGGTAGAGGGCACATAGGTCAGCCCTTAACCCCACACTTGCATACAGAGGCATCTTTCAAGGCCTACTTTAAGCCCCAACTCCTCCATGATCCTTTCCTAATTATTCTGATTAATTTTGATGTCTTCGTTTGTGGGAGGAGAGATGTGCTAACAGTTTGGTACTATAATTTAATTGTTTCACATGTCTGTGTGCCATTCTATGAACAGAATATAAATTACACAAAAGTACAGCCTCATGCATCTTTACAGGCTCAATTGCAGGGCCCACCAGTCCTGGGCAAGTCATATCTTAAGCACTCAGCAAATGCTTGCTTAGTCAAAATAAATCAGTAGCTCATTTAGAAAATTACAAACAATTATTGTTAAATTATTTCCAGGAAGAAGTAGAACCAGAACATGTTTTGCAAGAAACTCCTTATGTTCCTACCTTCCAAAACCTAAATGTGTCTTGCCCCAATGGACTCCTGGTGACCTTCATTGGGCAAGAGCCTACAGGTGAGTGTTAGCCAGCATGGGGTGGGAGGGGGTGGGGCAAATGTCAGACAGAAAACAGTTGAATCACCGTTGAAAACGTGTGTATTTTCATACCAGTTAAACATGTTGATAATGAACAATAGGCTAATAATAACGATGACTAGCATTTTTTGAGCCCCCAGCCCTAAGTACTTAACATATATAAAAATCCACAAATATGGTAAACTAAGTTCTAATAATTCCATTTTACAAAATAAATCGAGGCTTCAGGAGGTTCATTAACTTCCCCAGGTCACTCAGTTCCTAAGTGGCAGAAATTAAAGGTCATTCTTGGTCAGTGATGGCAAGGCTGGTGGACTCTTAACAACTTTGATGGGGTGGGACCCTGTCTTTCTGGCTCTACAGAGGGCCACAGGTATAGTGATTTGCTGGTCTGATCAAATCAAAAGACAGTGAGCAAAAAGTAAGTGGAGGCAAGTACAGGTTAAGTGGTTGAAGGATATCAATCTTGTTCCCAGATATTAGAATGTAATTTTATAAAGTCTGTTATTTTTGTACATGGCCTCTAACTCATTAAGATGACTAAGTAAGTACAAGTAGGACCTCTTTAATTAACATGATGGGGCATCCACATTAGTGACTGAATTTGAATATCACTGATATGGAGGTCCACTCTTGCAGTAGAATTAGCAGATGAAACAAAGCAAGCACTGGCCTGGGACTTGAGATATATATATGTCCCTTTCAGTTGCTTACTATCTCTGGACCATGTTTCTTCATCTGATAAAAGTTTTGTTGTACCAGTGGATCCTGACTTTAATTCACAACCAAATGTCCTCTTTATTATAGTTCCTTATGTACACCACATTTGAAAAAAGAGTATCTATCAAAGAAAAAGAGTATGCCTATTGAAAACTAATTCAATGTCATGTTTACTTGCCACCTAAATGAAAAGAAGCTAAGGGCTGCAGTTGGTCTGGTTTGTCTTAATTTTGTTTTTCTTCATGTGAAACTCTGGAAAGTGAAATTATCTCTCTTAAAGGGTTGTTGAAGCGGGCTGAATAAAATACATATACAAAGCATTTAACATATGTAAACATCTCAGTAAATGTTTATAATGTTATTGTTACTAATACTTCTGTGACTTAGAGGGTATCATGAAGGGCCCTCATTCCAAAATATTTTTCTAACAGCCCAATATAGTCCCTGAAATGCCATCATTACATGTTGATAAACCACTTTGTAAGTTGAGAAGAGGAAAGTATTCAGTTAGCAAAAACTGAATAGTTACTGTATGCCAGAAATTCTCAATGATAATATTTTCTTTTGAAGGAACCTATGAGGTGTTTTTCTCCTTGATTGCTAACTAAGAATAGAACCTTGAGAAAAATCTGGATTTGGTTAGAGATGAGGGGATTATGTTAACTTTGAAAGGTGATGAATGATTTAGGAAGGGCAAGCCTGAGTAACTTCCCCTGGGGCTCCTGACAACCAGGGAACCCCAGAACAGCGTTGTGCATGCAGGGGCAAGAGCTTACTCAAAGGCGAGAAAAAAGTACCCACAGGGAGAAAAGGGAACATCTACGACAGCAAAACTCTGCTTCCTTCCTAATTTTGCCAGGGATATCCTGGAATTCCTTAGAAGAATGGACTATACATGGAGAAGGTACCTATTAAGTACTTGTAGATGACCTTATTCACTACACTTGACTATAACAAGGCAGCAAAACACCAGTGCTCTGGGCCATTTGTCAGGTTATGAAAACTGCCCTATTATTCACATGTAGACAGAAGAATAAAAAAAAATAAGGAAAAAGATAAAACGCCAGCTACACAGCATTGCTCAGTTCACAGGAAGGCTTTCTTTCTTTTCTTTTTTTAAGATCAGAATGTTGTAGATGAGGAACCCACTTGGGACATCATGGTCCGGCAGAGCTACCCCCAGAAGGTGAAGCACTATGATTTCCACAAAACTGTGATGCCACCTGTGGATCAGGAGGCCTCAAGAGTTATCACAAGGCAAGGCACTGTTGTCAAATACATGTTGGATGGATCTACACAGGTAACGGAATGTTAGATAAATAACACTCCTTCTTGCTGCGAAGTACAAACAAGCTGGGGAAAAGAACAGTGTTATCGTAGGCAAGAGGGACAACTCATTTGAAAATGGAGTCACACTTAAAATGACAAATGGAGACTAGTATTGTTTTCTGTGCAATATAGGATACAAACAGACTTATTCTATATATGATCCAGGACTAAATGCAGTGTTTACTTCCTCCCCCTCTCAAGGCACCTGAGAATAATTTTAAAAATACTTTTAAATAATAAATTCATAACGGTACTGGAAAACAACAAAATGGGCCATCAGTGGATCAGAAGATTAGGAGAATTTCTAGAAAATGCAAGTCAGATGAGATCAGACCAATGGAGAAATAAAAGCAAAGTTTAAAGCAAGTGCAAGAGAAAACCTGCAGCAAAATTAAAAATCAGTTCTAACACAGACATTTCACAGAGGGAGCTCTGCACCCAGACAATTAAGTTAGTGTGCCCAGTTAACTCACTACTACCTGGAGGGTGAGAACCAGAAGTCATAATATCCAAAAGCCATATGGCCTGCTCTATACCTCCCCAGTAATTACTGGGAAATTGTTTCTGTAATCAGAGGATACACCACCAAGAAGTGAAAAGGGATTCTCAAGGGGACCGATGACCATGCACGCAAGAATCATCAACCTTAGAGAAAAACCAACTGCATGAAAGTAAATTACAGAATAATCAAAAAATTAAAGAAATAGCATCTAAAAATAAGGATAAATAGTTAAACAAAAAGTTGAAGGTGAGTAAAAGTAACATAGGCAGAGACTTGAGAGGTTAACAGTCTACAAAATAACAATAAAAAAAAAGTTACTGTGGACAAAATAAAGAGTTCTTAGATATTAAACACAATATATTTGACATAATTGGGTGTCAAATCACCGTGTAGCAGTGATCAATATATATATACATATATATATGAAACTAATACAATATTGTATGTCAATATACTTCAATTAAAAATCTTAAAGGAGGGAAAAAAAAAAACAACTGTGAAAAATTAAGGCAGGGAAGCGGATTATGGGGAAGAGAAGAGTTACGAGACATGGAAAAGGGATCTGAAAAATACAATCTCCAGAAAAAGAAAATAGTGGGAGTGAAGACAGAAAATAATGAAAGAAATAATCTAGGGAATTTTCCCAGAGTTAAAAAAAGAAAGAAAGAAAGAAAGAAAGAGAGAGAGAGAGAGAGAGAGAGAGAGAGAAAGAAAGAAAGAGACAAAAAAACAAACTTTGGATTAAACAGGGCAGTCAAGTGCCAAGCAGAATTGATACTAATTATCTTTAAAAGATCATCACGTCATAGTGCAATTTGGGGACTGCACAGGTAGACAATACCAAAAGCTTCCTTAAAGAAACCAGTTACCTCCTATAGAATGAAAACTGAATGGACATTAGATTTCTCATTAGCAGTGCTGGTGGGGGGTTTTGTCATGTTCATACGTTCATTGATAGGCTATAGATACTGATGCAGGTAGATGTATTGATGATACCTATAGACAAGACACATACTAGAGACAGACGTTGATAGAGACTAAACATTTAAACATGTGATAAAATTTTAAATGTAGTTATTATATAAGCTGAAATAGGGCGGGTAATTTTCTAGTTGCACAGAATGGAGAAAATAAAAATAAAACAAATAAATACAAAAAAATAAAAACTCAAGTCAGTCCAATAAAAGACAAGATATAAAAAGAAAAGAAACAACATAGAAAGTACATGGAAAACCATGAATGATATTATGGTGCTGGTTATTGAGCTATAGTCTCTGAGCTCCACAGTTACCATCCTAAAATATGCTTTGTGCTTAGTCTGGAGGTCTGCTAACAGCATTTTCCCTTCGGATTGACTTTAACCTATGCCAGTGTTAACACAATGTTAAATGTTAACCAGCCTCTTCCTTGCTTCTGAGAATGTAGGAACTTCTGCTTTTCCTTCAGGTTCTCTTTGCAGATGGCGTTGTGAGCAATAGTCCTGATTCAGGTCCTGTTTCTCCTCCTGTTGAAATGCCACCAAGTCCTCATAGTGGAGACTTGATGGACACAGTTTCTCAGCAAAAGTCAGAAACAGCACCGTCTGAAATTATCATTCCAAAGAAAGGTAATAATTGAAGAATCTCAGTTGATGATGGGTTTAATAAATCTTACACTTCTCATCTTTTCCATGTATATATTCAAGTATACTCACATGTATACATGTGTGTACATCTTAATTGAATCACAGCATTACACACTGTTTCATGAACTGCTTTTTTCTCTTAGTAATAAATAATGAACATCTTCCTGTGTTGTTGTATACTCTTACACAGCATTAGCTCTAATGCCTGGGCTACTGTTTTAGGGTTAGTTGAGCAGATCAATGATATCAAGGTACTGACTAGGCTTCTCTGGTTCTCTGGACCTCTTCCTCTGAGCCGCAAGCTGGGAAAAGGCCACACCAGCTCTAGGTGTAAGGTTCTCATGTGGTAACTCTCAAAGCAAAAAACAAAGAGAGTGAATATAAGAACTTTCAAGTGTCTCTTTTTGTCAGAGAGGAAAACATTTCCAGATTCCACCCCCTGTCCCCACCAGCAGACCTCCCCTTATATCCCATTGACTAGACCTGGCCAAGTACCTAGGGTAGAAAAACAAACATCTGACGTTTCTGAATTTTTTTCTCAGGAGATGAGCAGTACTATTTGGGGAAAAGAAAATTGAATAACAATTGAGTAAGCAATCAACCGTGCCTGCCATAATCTAATATATGAAATTGTTCTCCTCAGAGATATTTTCAATTGACACCCCCACTTCCAATGCAGTATGAAAATATTTGTTTCCTCATACCCTTGCCAGTGCTGGATTTCCTTATTAATTTGATTTCATAGATAATTAACAATCTTTTATTACATTAATTTACATTTCTTTATTACTGGTGAGGTTAAACATCATTTTTTTCTTTTTGTGAATTTTCTATTCACATATTTTCTCAGTTTACTATTGAGATGTTTATTATTTTCATATTTATTTGTAAGAGTTGTGTGTTTGTGTACCAGGCACAATTCTGAGTACTTTAAAACATTAAATTAGTTAATTCTCATAGCAACTCTGGTTTCTATGTAGATATTTTAATAATTCCACTTTACAGATGAGGAAATTGAGACACAGAGAGGTTAAGTAACTTTCTCGAGGTCTCTCAGCTATTAAGTGGTAGAGCTGTGACTGGAGTCTGGGCATCTGCATCACAAACTTTTCTCAATTTCTCATGGGACTTAAATGATCTGAGACCAAGATTTAATCTTCTTTGCTAATTTCAAACATCTTCCCACAGTAACCAGTAACCTTGTATAGAGGCAAACTGAATTTCCTTTTCGGTTAATTAAAATTTAAAGAAATAGACTTTCCTTTAGTAGTAGCTGAGGGCTCTTGGTTGAAGTGAATGAAGGCATCCTCATTGCTTTTAAACTTCCCAGCTCAAAGCTTCCCCTCGTCTTCTGATGGGAGAGGACTTGATGTAAGGGTAGCCACTTCTCTTAGAGCCCGGTGAGGTTCCAAAGGGCTTCTGCCTCCAGCATAGTGTGCTCCAGCTTTCTTTAAAGCCCGTCCATCTAAGATGATGTATTCACTTAAACACACACACGCGTGCACATGCACACACACATGCACGCGCGCGCACACACACACACACACATGCACGCGCGCGCACACACACACACACGCAGGAACTAATAGACTTTTTTTTTTTTTTAAGAGCGATTTTACGTTTACAGAAAAAAATGAGCAGAATGTACAGAATTCCTCTATACTTCCTCCCTACCCGGCTTAAAGTTTTCTCTATTTTAAACACATGTGTTATAACTGATAAACCAATATCAATACATTGTTATTAACTGAAGTCCATAGTTTGCATTAGGGTTCATTCTTCACATTGCATAGTTCTGAGAGTTTTGACAAATGCATAATGTAGTGAATCTACCACTACAATAACATACAGAATAATTTCACCCCCTGTGAGAAGAAAAACAAACCTGTGCTCTATTGATTCATTTCTCCCTTCATCTTCTCCCCAAAACCAGTACCAAGGAGCTGACAGTCTCTTTTCCCCTCTACCCAGAACCTTGGAACCACCAATCTACTTTCTGTTACTATAGATTTATATATTCTGGACATTTCCATTAAAGAGAAGCATACAACACAAGGCCTTTTGTGACTGGCATCTTTTAGTTAGCATAATATTTTCAAGGGTCAGCTATGTTGTAACTTGTATCAGCACTTCATTTTTATGGTTGAGTAATGTTCTGCTGTGTGGATACACCACAGTTTGTTTATCCACTCATCCATTGACAGACATACAAGTTGTTTCCACTTTTGGGAAACTGCAAATAAAGTTGATATGAACATTTCTTTACAAGTTTTTGGTGTGGACATATATTTTCATTTCTCTGGAGTAGATACCCAGGAGTGGAATTGCTAGAATAGTAACTGTGTTTCCCACTTTGAGCACATGACAAACTTTTCCAAAGCAGCTGCATTGTTTTCCATTCTCACCAGCATGGATGAAGGGGTTCCTATTTCTTCACTTTCTTGCCGACACTGTTATTTTCTGTCTGGAGCCATTCCTCTTTTTTTCTTTTTAAAATTTTATTTATTTTTGTATATTATTTTGAGGGTATTGGGTTTCTGCTTAGGCATTAAGATTTTATTTTATTATTTATTAATTTTTTATTGTGTTCTATTAGTCACCATACATCATTAGTTGTTTTTTTTTTTTAAGATTTTATCTATTTATTTGACAGAGAGAGATCACAAGTAGGCAGAGAGGCAGGCAGAGAGAGGGGGAAACAGGCTCCTTGCTGAGCGGAGAGCCCGATGCAGGGCTCAATCCCAGGACCCTCAGATCATGACCTGAGCCAAAAGCAGAGGCTTAACCCACCGAGCCACCCAGGTGCCCTTACATCATTAGTTTTTGATGTAATGTTCCATGATTCATTGTTTGCGTATAACACCCAGTGCTCCATGCTATACGTGCCTACCTTAATACCCGTCACTGGGCTCACCCATCCCCATACCCCCCTTCCCTTCTAAATCCCTCAATTTGTTTCCCAGAGTCCATAGCTCTCCCACTACGATTTCTCCCCCTTCATTTTCCCCTTCTCCTAATATCCTCCATGCTATTCCTTATGTTCCACAAATAAGTGAAACCATATAATTGGCTTTCTCTATTTGACTTATTTTACTTAACATAATCTCCTCCAGGCCCATCCAAGTTGATGCAAAAGTTGGGTATTTATCCTTTCTGGTGGCTGAGCAATATTTCATTGTGTATTGGACCACATCTTCTTTATCCGTTTGTCTGTTGAAGGGCATCTTGGCTCTTTCCACATTTTGGCTATTGTGGACATTGTTGCTATGAACATTGGGGTGCATATGGCCCTTCTTTTAACTACATCTGTATCTTTGGGGTAAATACCCAGTAGTGCTATTGCTGGGTCATAGGGTAACTCTATTTTTAGAGTGGTATCCTATTTTGATTTTGATTTGCGTTTTCTTAATGGTTAGTGATGTTGAATACCTTTTTATGTACTTAGTGGACATTTGTCTATCTTCTTTGGAGAAATTTCTATTCAAACCCTTCCCCAATTTTGTAATAGATTATTTGTCTTCTTACTTTTGAGTTATAAGTATCTTTTGTGTATTTTGGATACAAGTTCCTGATCACATACAAATCAGGTATATGATTTGTGAATATTTTATCCCAGTCTTTGGGCTATCTTTCCATATTCTTGATGGTGCCTTTTCATGGTGTACATTTTGTTGAAGTCCAATTTATCTGGTTTTTACCCATCTGGTTGCTTGTACTTTTGGTATCACAGCTAAGAAATCATTCCATGATCCAAAGTCACAAAGACATATTCCTGTATTTTCTTCTAAGAGTTTAAAATTTTTAGCTTTGCACTAGGGGCTTTTACATTCACTTTTATATATTTTTTTATATAATATGTGATGGGGTCCAAATTCATTCTTTTGAGTTTATTAAAAAGACAATTATTTCCCCCACTGAATTGTTTGGCACCTCAGTCAAAAATCAATTAACCATAAATATTAAGGTTTAATTTTGGAGTCTTATTTCTGCTCCACTAAACTCCTATATGTTTATCCTTTTGCCAACATCTCATTGTCTTGACTGCTACAGCTAAGTCTGAGTCACCCATGTTTGTTTTCCTTTTTAATGTAGTTTTGACTATTCTGGGTCTCTGGCATTTCTGTATGAATTTTAGGATCAAATTGTTAATTTCTGCAAAAGAGGCAGGAATTTTTATAGAGATTCCACTGAACGTGTAGATAAATTTTGAGAGCTTTGACATCTTAAAAATACTGTCTCTAATTCATCAACTAAGGATATCTTTTTATTTATTTAGGTCTTCTTCAGTTACATTCAGTAGCTTTTTATAGTTTTCAGTATACAATTATTAACAATTGTTTGTTAAATTTTTCTTATGTGTTTTATTCTTCTTGATCCTATTATAAGTGGAATTGATTTTTTTAATTTTGAGGTTGTTCATTGATGGTATACATCAAGACAGTCTATTTTTTGTATTTTGGCCTTGTGTCTTGAAATCTTGCTGAACTTTCTTACTCTAACCTTTTTTGTTTTGCAGCAACTTTGAAAATAAGATGCCAACCACCAGTGTTTGTTTGTTGTTGCTGTTATTGCTGTTTGTTTAGTGACTTTCCTGAACTTATTCTTGCAAGTCTCTCTCCTTTGTCCTGTGTGGCTACTACAGTCTCTGCTGTGTTAGCTTAGTGATCAGCTAATGATTAGGCCGGGATTTACTTACATGCCTCGAGCCAAAAAGCCTCCCAGCCTTTGCCAAGGGAATATGTGTACTTATTGGGGCATTCCTTTTTTACTCTCACAGTTTAGACCCTAGCCCTAGCCTCAAGGTCAGCCAGAGGTGAGAGATTCTGTATTTCTCAGGTCTTTCCTGAGCATGAGTACAAACCTCCATGTGCATCTGGCCACAGGAAAATGTCAGAGTTTTTCAAAGTTCCTACAGTCATCTCATTCTCCAGCTTCTTTGAAGTTTTTAGGTCAGCCTCTTGTTTGCCCCAACTATTTTTGCAGCCTGAGACAGCCACATTATGAAAAATAGCCACCGATTGTTTAGACAAGGGCCCCAGGATAAGGTTGTTTACAATGAGTGAATTCTAACTCAGGTCAGAGTGAGGATTTTCAGGGAATTTTCAGAGCAGTAGAACAATGATGAGTCTCTGGGAATGGGGCTTTTAAGGAGAATTCCAGGGCTATTGGCCCCCTCCAACAGCTGCCACACCATTGGTTTTCATAGCTACTGTGATTCCAAGGCTACTGTTTTTCAAGGCTACTGCACAGTTGCAGATGGGGGAAGATGAAGGATGAGAATTGGGTAAGTTATAACACCACAAAGCAGTTGTTGTTACTGAGATTCAGCTGATTGTTGTGATTCTTTGGTTTGTTTCCAGATTTCTAAAAGAGTTGATTTTGGTAATTTTTTTTCCAGTGTTGTCACTGTTTTTTTTGAGGAATGGCTTTTTGAAGATCCTTTCTTGCCATACCAGAAGTGCTTCTCCCATCTCACAAGACATACTATTTAGTATTTTCATAATTTTTTAGCTCTAAATATTTTCTAATTTCCAGATGACTACCTTTTTTAAAAAAAATTTATTTAGATGACTTCCTTTTTGACCCACAAGTTATTTAAACATGTTTCTAAATTTCTAAAACTATAAAGTATTTTTAGGATTTTTAAATAATTGATTTTTAACTAATCTTTTGAAATTCGTTGAAACGTGATGTATAGCCTCAAATACGGGCAAGTGTTTAAAAAAGTCTGTGTATGATTGAAAAGGGCATGTATCCTGTAGTTATTGAGTATAGTGTTCTCTTTATAACTGTTAGATCAAAACTGTTAGCTGTGTTATCCAATCTATTTCCAAGTTCAGCAAACTTCTCTACAAAGAGTAAGATAGTAAATATTTTTTTTATTATGTTCAGTTAGCCAACATATAGTACATCATGAGTTTTTGATGTAGTGTTCAAGAATTCATTAGTTGCATATAACACCCAGAGTTTATTTAGACTTTGTGAGCCATATTGTCTCTGTCACAACTATTCACCTCTGCCATTGTAGCATGAAAATAGCCATAGACAATACATAATTAAATGAGCATGGTGTATTGTGTTTAAAGAAAACTTATTTATGGACACTAGAATTTGAATTTCATATAATTTTCATGTATTGCAAACTATTTTTCTTTTTTTCTTTTAATTATAATTGTATTATAATTAATTTTCTTTTAATTATATAGAAATGTTAAAAGAAGTATTACTTCACAGACTACAACAGACAGCAAGCCACATTTGCTTGACAAGTCAAAATTTGCCAACCATTGTTGTATAACCTCACAGATATTTTTAATCTACTGTATCAATTTATTCAGCAGAAGTATATTTAAATAAGGGTAGAATAATCTATCCAAGGCTATCCTTCTTATAATTTAATATTTATCTCTGAAATTATTATATCTTTTTAATATTTCTGTAAGATTTTTCTTCATATACTTTGAGGATGTGATTTTATTAACTTATAAATTTAGATATCTTCATAGTAAATTTAACTTTTTATCAGTATGCAATGGCTTTTTGTTCTAGGATTCTTTTTTGCCCTAATGTCTATTTTGCTTATATTATTATAGCCATACCAGCTATCATTTAATTCCTTTGCAGTATAACTTTTTCATACTTTGTTTTACTTTCAGTGGTTTATGTTTAAATGTATCTGTTGTAAGCAACTTATAGGTGAATATTTTAAAAATTCGATTTGATAATTTTTGTCTTTTAATCAGAACTTCTAATCCATTTATTGTGTAACAGATATTTTCTGAAAATGTCTTTATGTTGTCCCCATCCTTGGATGATAATTTTACTGGTTACAGAATTCTGGATTGACAGGTGTTTTCTCTCCAGTAGATTGACAAAAAATCTTTAGACTCTTCTTGCTTACAGTGTTGCTGTTGAAAAGTTGGCTCTCAGTCTAATTGTTGTTGCTGCGAAGATAATCTAACTGCCTTGAAAATATTTTCTTTTTCTTATTATAATTTCAATACAATGTGGCTAGGTGTGAGTTTCTTTTTATTTATCCAAGTGAGAATAAATTGGGATTCTTGAGTCTATGGATTAGTATCTTTTATTTATACCAGAAAATTCTCAATAATTACCTTTTCAAATCTTGTTTCTGTTCCACTTTTTGCATATATTAGAGACTTTTACCTCTCTTTTATTATTTCTATTATTTTGACTCTCTGAGAGTCATTCTAAATAATTTCTTTAGATCTTATCAGTTCTTTTTTAACACTCTGGAAATAGAAATAAGTCCAAATTAAATCTTAGGGCAAAAGTAAAGTTTAGCTTCATGCATATGTATTATTGGGCTCTTCCTATTAGTTAAATCTGCATCTTAGGCTAAGATCCATCCTCTGATGCACACTTCATACTCTGAATCTGAGGAATCTTCCTAGAGTTAACAGTCCTTCACTATCTTTGTTTGTAATTTGCTTCTGGGTCTGAGTTTACCTCATCATTGAGGTTTGATAATGCTGGCCAATCTCATCTACAGATCACTCATCATTATTTATACAAATGGAGCAAATCTATCCATGATAGAGGGATTGAGATAGTATTCACAGAGTTCCATAAGGCTTTTTCAGTTCTGTATTCCTTTCCAAATAGGTGGTGGTGGATTGGAAGGAGGGATGCATCAGATGATTAGCGATGCAGTAGTTGGATTGTACAGATCCTCTCCCCTAGTGAGAGGCCAAGGATATATGCCTGGTTGGTAAATTTCTTTGGAACCACAGCTGAAGAAAGCAGTTTCCTATCTATGAGTAACAAAATGAAACAATCAAGGGAATAAAGAGTGAAATAATCTGGTAAAATGCTAGAGTTCAGTAAGTCGAAAGAAGGAATTTAAGATATGGAGCAAAGGTAGGGTTTAAAAACTGGGCTACAAATCTCCAAATCTGGAATCCGGGGAGCTATAGGCAACATTCAAAATTATACAGAAATTGACCAGAATAGGTATTTTCCCACTTGAGAAATAATATAATTGATGAATACCACTTAGAATTTCTGTCACAGTGTCTGAGGTAGCTTACAGTGTGTTAAGCTTAATGTATAATCTATGTAATTGATATTATAATTATATTGTATTTGATTTTACTTGAACTTCTGCAGGAAAAAGTCACAAAAATCAGTCGTCAATGGCACATAAGAATGAAAGCCATGAACCTCACCCAGAGACAGTTCAAAGAGTAACTCCTGTGGAGGTTCATGTAGGCACCTGGTTTACAACCACACCAGAAGGAAATCGGATTGGCACCAAAGGATTAGAAAGAATAACAGACATGACCCCATTATTATCCTTCAAGGCCACAGATCCTGTCAATGGAACGGTATGGCAAACTATTGTTTATTGCAAAATTTTATAAATCATTAGAGTTCTGAAACAACATATTAGAAGAGTACCTAGCAAATACTTAATTTACTCTAACTACTTGGTAAGTAGTAGATGGATAGATGAACAGATGGATCCTTCTTTGCAAGCGCAAAACATTTCTGTGGTTTATTTTACTTGAAAAATGTACCATGAAATACTAATTTTTGAAATGAGAAACAGATCATGAATATTTATATCACATTTAAGGCATACAAGATTAATTATGTCATATATTTCTTTATGTTGAATATATTTGTGTAATGTCTTATCTTCTAGAAGTTGAGGGGCTATGCTTTGTTCCTTTTTCTTTGTGTGAAACTGAAATAAGTGGTAGAAATTTATTCATGATCCATGACTCCAAAGAATGTATGGTATATTTAGGGAGATGCTCACATTAAATAATGCAAGAATTTGGCAACATTACAGAGTAACTGGACAAAAGATTTTATTTGTAGCCGAAGAATAAGTGACGAATGGTGTAGAAAATAATGGTTTTGAGGCACCAGTTAAGCCTCCAACTCTTGGTTTTGGCTCAGGTCACAATCTCAGGGTAGTGAGATTGAGCCCTTTGTTATGCTCTGTGCGTATGCAGAGTCTATTTGAGAGTCTCTCTCTCTCTCTACCCCTCCCCCTACTCATGTGCCCTCTCTCTCTTTCTCATAAATAAATAAATAAAATCTTAAAAAAGAAAAGAATGGTTTGGCTTATGATGTGAAATCAAAACTTCTGGGATGAACGATAGTGGCAGGCTTTGTGGCAGGATTTCTGTTAGGGGATTGAAGGTTCTGTGTACATTATCTCATTCAGTCTCCACACCAGTGAATATCATATTATACCTATGAGGAAATCAGGCCTCAGCAAGTTGAATAATGTGGTCAAGAGTACACATTCAGCCAGTGCTAGATCCTAGTTAGGAGCAGTTGTTGGCGACTGAAAACTGAGCTCTTTCCATCCCTCAGCTAGTCCTCTAAAGTCTTATGTGGAGCATTTCAGTGCCCTCTGAAAGTAAATGACATGATGGATAGGTGCCTTATATCTGGGTTCTATCTTATAGGTGCCTTATATCTACCTTTGCTTATAACCATGTGCTGCTGGTCAAAAGCAAAATGACTGCTCACTATTGAGATGAATTACATTACCTAACCAAACATGTCTTCCTTCCTTCTTTAGTCAGCTTCTGAAATAATTTTGTAATCTCTTACCTTGCCTGCTAGTTGTATTTTTTGTGAGACTCAAACTACGTATCATTACAGGAAGGTTTTTCTGGTCACTTCAAATAACTCCCTTCTATTCATCCTCTGATATAGATTACTTGGCATAATATGCAAATGCGATTAACATTTCTTAATAACTCTCAGTTTCCCTAATTATTACCTGTCACCATTACAGAAGCATGAACCAATGCCCAAGAGCCTGGATTCAAGCACTTGTTGAACATCAAACATATAACAGAATAATAAAAACAACAGTAATAATAATACTTAACTGAGCGCTTGTTGTTTGCCAAGCCCTGTTCTCCTTTTATTCTCACAAAAGACCAGTGTTTACATTTTACAGATGAGGCAAAAACATAAGGTTACATAATTTCCCCAAAAGCACACAGCAAGTAGTAGAGTCAGAATGTGGACCCCAAGGTTGCAATCCAGATCCCGTGTGCCTAGCCACCAGGGACCTAAGGGTCAAGAAATCACATGGTCGTATGAAACAAAATTGAAAATGGATTTTTTTCATGACACATGAAATATCACTAAATTAGAGGCATGGGCACTGCCCTTGTGGTGACACAGATCTGGGTTTGAACACCAGCCACACTCCCTACTGGCTGTGTGACTTTGGACAATCTTCTAATCCAATTTTCCTTACTTACAAATGGAGATAATAGTGATTACCTGAAATAGTTGCTAAGATTAATGCCAGATCCAACACTATCAGGTGTTCAGTAAATGTTCTTTCTACTCTATTCTTACCACCACTGAGAATAATGATTTTCCCACTGTACAGTGATCAGAAAGTGTCAGTGTTATGTGGTGTTATGAAATGTTTGAATAATTCTAAATAACAGTGTGTGAATATTTTTACTGGATAAAAAGGTAGTATTACCTCTTGCTGACTTGATGACTGACTAAATGTCAATCACTTTACCAACATTATTTCATTTAATCCACATAATATGCCTGAAGCAGATGCTAGTGTTGCCTTCATTTTGCAGATGAGGAAACTAGAGCACAGAGAAGTTAGGCCACTTGCCTAGGTCAACCAGCCATTGGCAAAGTTGGGATTTGAATTCAGGCAGCTTTACTCCAGAGCTCATACTCTCAACCACTGTATTCTTCAGTGGTGTTTCTCATTAAATGCATTAGCTGAGAGTGCCAATGATAAGAACATAAAATAATGACAGCATGCATTTCTCTCAAATATAGTGATTTCTGCCTACTATAAAGAGATAAAGCAATTATCACCTGCTTCCAATGGCCCCAGAAATTTGAGTCAAAACATAGCTAACAAACCTACTGTCATATCCATCTGGACTCTTCAGTGAAATACTGTGTCCCTTACAGTTAAGACAGTACAAGTTAGAAAATACTTGATGATTGAAACATGTGCTACATAGTTTGCAATACTGTTATTGCCAGTTGGACAGCACCTGTGCAAGGAAGGGGATGGAAACATAAATGGGCAAAGGGAGAAGCTGAGCTGTGGCACAGACCGACAAAGCCTCAGCCAACTGGCAGGGGCTCAGGAGCTGGTATGCTCTGCCCCAGTATCCCAAGTCTGGTAGCATTCCACGTTGGAACATACCTGGGACATACTGTGTTGACCAGGTAACCATCCTTTGGCTTCCTGCCTTGGATGATAACAGCTATTTTCCTTCTCAGACCTTCTATCCATCCTCCACAATAATCCTTTCCACTGGAATAGAAAAGATTACAGGTTACCGTGGACAATCAAGCTAACAGAACAACCAGGCTTTAATCTGCATCTGCATTTGCTCTGCTTTAGGGAAGGACACAAGGCAGCAAATGCAGCAAGATCAATGTGGCACCCTCACTCAGCTGGGAGGCCCAGCAATGACCCACAGGTGCAGCTTCCTTTACCCTTCAAGCCCACCTGGGGCACAACCTGCAGCAGCAGACAAGAGCCTGTGAGTGTGTGGATCAGCTTGACGCAGAGAAACCACAGCCTCTGTTCCCCACCAATCTTCACATTCTGTTCTGATGGCATTAGACTGAGAATGGCATAGCAGGCCAGGGAGCCCCTGTAATTTTCAAGGAGGCAGGACCTAGGGTCATTTTCCCAGACAGACCGGGGCTAGGCCAGTCCTGGCGTTAACTTTTTTCTCACAAATATACAACAGTGGAAGGAGCATCAATTTTCAAGTCCAATGGCCTTAGTGCGACACCAGCCCTGGCGTTTGCTGAGTGACCGTGAGCAAATTCCTTAACTTCTCTAAGCATGCATTCCCTCATCTACAACATGGGGATAGCATTACCTGCCTTCCAGGATTGTTGCAAAGCTTTGACCAAATAGAGGAGATCAAACTTAAGCTTACAAATGGACAACAAGGATTTTGATGGTATTCAATGAGGTATAAAAATAAATGGACTTGGGATTAACCATCTGACCAAATAATCATGCTCTGCCTTTGTATGTTCAGGTCATGACAACTCGAGAAGACAGAGTGGTCATTGTGGAAAGAAAAGATGGTACTCGGATAGTGGATCATGCTGATGGTACCCGAATCACAACCTTTTATCAAGTTTATGAAGATCATATTACTCCTCCAGAAGATAATAAAATAAGTGAGTTTTATTTTTCAAGCATGGGACAATATGTGTCTTTAGAATAAGATGAGTACGAACCTCACTGCGTTTTTTAACCCACACATAAGAAAAATAATTTTTTTAAGAACTCTGCCAACCAAAGAACACATGTGCAGTCTAGAGCAAGGGCTCTATGGCCCTTTTGCTACCTTTTTTTTTTTTTTTTTAATCCTCAACAGTCGTGGGAGTGATAACTCTAGTTGGCTGATGGATAGTAATAGTAACTTTTTCCATTTTCACTGCTAAAATATAGTCTGGATTGGTGGCAACTAAAAGTTAATAATTATGACTCTGTTGCCTGGGGCATTAGCTCTCAGACCTGTTTCTGTTGATCCTTACGGAATCTGATTTGCATAAAGGTGATCTCAGTAAGGCCCTCCTTCAATTCTGAACATGCCTCTCATTATCAGAGACAGCATGAGAGAAGAACAAAGCTGCAGGTGCTAATTAACAGGAACCTGGGCAGAGACTCTAAAAGCATAACGCCTTTCCTAACCTAAATTTAAACAAGATTTTTAATGGCAAATTATTCCCTGTCTCCCTTTCCTTTAATTCCAGGGTTTATTTGCTTAATGCATTAAATGCTTCCTTGCCAAATTAAGTGCAACAAAATTGGCAAGCCAGTGAGAAAGAACAACCTTCGTATCCCACCTGTTAGAGTGAGAATTAAAAGAACCACTGGAGAGGGCAATTTTAAAATATCTGTAACTTTGAAATGGGCATATCATATGATGCACTAACTCCACTTCTGGGTACATGTAGAAAGACACTCTTAACAACACTCTTACTCATTTGTACAAGGAAACAGGTTCAGGGTGTTCCTTGCAGCACCAAATATGATATCAAAATGCTGGGAAATAAAAAAATGTCCACCAACAGCAGAATAGAGAAATAAAATGCAGTATATTCTTACAAAAGAATACTATATAGTACTTAAAAGGAATGAAGTACACACATGCACACATATGCCCACACAACTACATATCACGATGGCTGAAGGTCTCAAAGCAATGTCAAGTAGAAAATGTAGGTGTAAAATGATACATACAGTGTTATACAATGTATGCATATTTAAAACCACAGAAGATTATATATGATTTTGATATATATATTTATAGAAAAGATAAAAGTAGACTTCAAGAGAAGGAGATAAAACCAGGGATAAGGAGAAAAGTGAACCTCAGCTTACCTGCAATTTTTCTCTTATATACATATTAAGAATGTTGAAACAGATATGACAAAATATTAACAAGCGTAAATTTTGATTGGCGAGTATATAAATAGTTAAATTGTCTTTTATGCTTTTCTGGGTGTTTTCAATTATGCAAAATAAAAATAGTAGTAAGAACAAAACAGCACATTAAATTAAGGAGCAAGAGTTATTCTGGAAGAATTCCTCTGCATTGACAGTGAGGAGGCCATGCACCAGCCCTGTGAAGTGAGTTCTCAGCACATGGTCTCAGCTTCTAGCCCAGATGCCAGGAGACAGGAGCAAACTCAGCAGGCAGGCGTGTTTCCCAATGTGTGCATCCTGTGAGATCTGCTTACCTTGCATTTGCTTGCAGCTGAGAGTCCTCAAACTGTCACCAGGCAGGTGAAGTGCATGCGGATAGAAAACTCACACTATGCCACTATCATCACCAACTGCGAGGACAGTAGCTGCTCTGCCACCTTTGGGGATGGGACGTCTATTATTGCAAAGCCACAGGGAACATACCAGGTGGGTCTAGGAGAAATGAGGAGTGCCAAAGAGAAGTGTCCATTTGAATAAGAAAACTCACTCCTCTGGGGTGGTGAATATTCCTGCCACATACAGCTGTTGTTCCCTTTGTCTCATGTACTTAGAACACACTTCTCAATCTCTTTTTACTTTTTCATCTTCTTTTTGCAATCCATTGCAGAAAACCACTGTCCTGCTTGTCTTACAATGCTTTCGTATTTTCAGATCAAGGTTTTAAAATGTATTTGTTGGGGATCTTTTATTTAGTAGGTGTCAGGCACTGTTAGAAGCACTCATGTGATCTGTCCTGTGCCTACCCGACCAGCTTCACCTCCTACCACCTCTGTCCTTATTCACACTCTCCCATCCTTCCCATCTCCAGTCCATTGCCACTTTACCTAGAGTCCCCATAGGATGGGAAGGAACATATGATCTGTGGGTCCTAGGAGAACAGCTTACAAAGCTTTGTTCTTGAAGGCTCAGCGAGGAGAGCTCTTAGCAACTCCTGTACCTTCTTACATTTTCCTATTAATCACAACCACCTAGTGTCAGCCTGCAGTCTCTTGGAAGCCTTGGAAGGATTTGCCCTCATCTTTCCACTTGCCTGAGAAGAGACACAAGTGCCAGGATGTCACATACAATGTCACAGAATACTGAGAGCACAAAATCAGAAGATGACTGACTAAGACCTCAGTGTCAAATGTTACTGTGAAAGCTGCTAAAATCGGTTTATGCCTCCCATCTCTCCAAATGATGATACCCTACTCCCTCTTCTTCCAGTGTAGATTGTCATGGGGCAAGGCAGGTGCTGAAGGTGAGACATGATTGTGGTATGTGGCAGTTGACTAAGGGGAGCAATCCTTCTTCAATACTCAGAAGGTCCATTTTCTTCAGCAGATTGGCAGCATCCATATTCTGGTACCATGTGTGCTGCCAGATGTCATGATAATCCCCTAAGATTCTGTGATGAGGCCAGTTTTTGCCTTATTTTTATCATAGTACCAAACTCAAATGGTTACAGCTATGAGGGCAATGGAATTTTAGAACCAATGACAGTTGCCACTGGAGAAAGAGACATAAACAGAAAAGAGATCCAACTTACAGACATTCAGTATCCACCATTATTGTGTAGCCACTTGTTCCTTCCAGGTTTGCCCATTCTCCCAAAACACAGCCCAAGAATGGATTGGAAGGTTGACCATTCTTGGCTGAGAAACACACAGACCTTTAGTTCCCAAATGGAAAAAAAAAAAAAACTCCAAATAAATTTACCAATACCTATTATAGTTCTGCAGTTGTATAGCACTGAAAGATGGCATGCAAAAAAATCCTCTGCCCACCTCCTATTAGTGGTCATCACTCATCGCTCACCAGCATGAGAACAATGGGCAATATAATGAAAGAGGCAGGATTTAGGCAATATAATAATAATAATAATAATAATAATAATAATGGAGGTTGAGCTTGGTATAGTCCACCATTGTACCTTAGCAGCACTAAAATGATTAACCAAGACATCAAATAGGAGGCATGTATAACAGTTGTTATCCTCTATGACTAAAAGGTGCACAAATAGGGGTGGGACCATCCACCCAGCTAGAGGGTTTCACGAAGACAAGATGACAAATAATGGGTCTGTTATCCCCCATGGGAAACCTTCCTCTGTCCCTCATTCTAGGAACTGAAACCAATTTCCCTAGACCAGAAGACCTATTGTCTTTTGGGGACAGTGTGTGTATGTGTGTGTGTGTATATATGCTTGAACAAGCTTCTGAAAGAGAGTAGTCAGACTGTTCTTCTATACCACTATGATCCAACCTAAGTGGTTCCTTTGGGGAAGATACAGAAATGTAATAAGCATTTATAAGAATGCTTTGAAGTAGGACTTCAAGGGTCCTTGTCTTTGTTAGCAATACCATAAACAAACACCTTATAATAATGGAATGTGGTTATATCCTCTACTCGGTATATGAAATCAGTTGGAAGAGGCAAATTTTATAGTAAACTTTGAACTGTGAATGTAAAATATGAGAATGTAAAATCATGAGAATTCTATTATCTAACTGGCTATCGGGTTAATCAAAAACAACCACTAGCAGAAAATGTGGATCTGTATTTGCCACGTTGAGTCTCTAGGCTTCAGCATAGATGTTTCTCCAGGTTAACATCCTAGAAAGAAAGGCACATCCTGTTTATCAGGTTTACTTTTGGCATTTCAATATTTCTGCTTCACCTGGTCTATGGTATATGTCTTAACAGTGGATGTTATAGGACATCTTTTTCTGTCCAGAGCAGCTTTCAATAAGTTATAGAGTCAAATCTGACAGTTTGGGTCCATTTTGATGAAGACTTTTGGAGCCCAGGAAAGTTGCAAATTTAACCAAACACATTACCTACTGTAAAATGTACCTGGAACCACAGAGAAGTCTCAGAATTAGCCAAGATCCAACGGGGTTTTCTGGGCCTAGGCAATGGTGGATAGTCAGTATGAGACACTTTCAAAGTGATAGAGTAAGAACTCCTGAAAATACACTACTACATAAAGACAACTAGAAAACTGAAAATATTGTTCAAATCAACTTTTTGGCAAACTAAAATTGAAGCAAACATATAGAAGTAAATAATAGATTATAATAGAAATAAATAAAAGACAGAATAGAAAACCATAGAGAGAGTCAATGAAACCAGAAGTTGTTTCTTTGAAAAGATCAACAAAATTAACAAACTTTTAGGGACAGAGAGAGAGAAAGAAGAGGGGGAGACCCAAATTATTAGAATTAAGAGTGAAAGATAAAACATTTTTACAAATCTTACAGAAATGAAAAGAATTATAAGGAAATACTATGAATGTCAACAGATTAGATGCAATAGATGAAATAGATAAATTTCTGGAAAGGTACAAACTTCCAAATCTGAGTCAAGAAGAACTAAAAACTCAGAATAGACCTATAAGAAGTAAAAGATTGAATTGGTAATTTTAAAATTTAGCACACCGAAAAGCCCAGGGCCAGATAGCCTCACTGGTAAATTCTACCAAACATTTATGGAGGAATTAATACTGGAGAATTTTCATAAACTTTTCCAATATATAGAAGAGGAGGGAACACTTCCCAACTAATTCCGTCAGGTCAGTATTACCCTGATAAAACCAGACAAAGTCATCACAAGAACACTCCAGACCAGTATCTTTTATGAAGATAGATAAAAATCCTCAAGAAGGTGCTAGCCAACAGAATCCAGCAACATGTAAAAAAGAATTATACATTGTCACCAAGTGGGATTTATCCCAAGAATTCAAGGTTGGTTCAAGATGCAAAAATCAATCAATATAATATATCATATGAAAAAATAAAGGACTAAAACCACATGATCATCTACCTAAGACTCAGAAAAAGCATTTGACAGAATTCAGCACCCTTTCACGATTAAAAAAAAAACTCAGTGCACTAGGAACAGAAGGAAACTTCTTCAACCTCATAAAGGGCATCTACAAAACAAAAAAACCACAGCTAACAAATAGCATTCTTATCGCTATTTGTTAAAAAGCTAAAAGCTTTCTGTCTAAAATCCGGCACAGCACATGAATGTTTGCTCTCATCCTTCCAACTCAGCATTGTACTGAAGGCTCTAACCAGGGCAATCAGACAATAAGAATAAATAATGTGCAAGCAGATTGGAAAGGAAAAATGTAAAACTATCTCTCTTTTTACGGATGATATAAAAGCATATCTAGAAAATCCTAAGAAATGCAATCTACCAAAAACACAATGTACACATACACACACAATTAGAACTAATAAAAGAGTTCAGCAAGTTTGCAAGATGTAAGATCAATATACAAAAGCCAATTATATTTTTCTACATTAACAAAAAGCAATATAAAATTGAGATTAAGAAAACAATGCTGTTTAAAGTAGCATCAAAAGGAATAAAACACTTCTCTTCAACAAATGGTGTTGGGAAAACTGGACAACTACATGCAAAAGAATGAAACTCAACCACTTTCTTATGTTATACACAAAAATAAACTTAAAATGGCTTAAAGACCTGAATATGAGACCTGAAACCATAAAAATTCCAGAAGAGGGCATAGGCAGTAATTTCTCTAGCACTGGCTGTAGCTATATTTTTTTAGATATGTTTTATGGAGCAAGGGAAACAAAAGCAAAAATAAACTGTTAGGACAACATCAAAATTCCTTCTGCACAGTGAAGGAAACAATCGACAAAAAACTCAAGGAAAACCTATTGAATGGGAGAAGATATTTGGAAATGATATATCTGATAAAGAGTTAGTATCCAAAATATATAAAGAACTTACACAACACACACAAAAAATAAATGATCCAGTTTAAAAATGGGCAGAAAACATGAACAGACATTTTTCCAAAGAAGACATATAGACAAGAAAAGGTGTTCAACATCACTAGTAATCAGAGAAATACAAATCAAAACTACAATGATATACCACCTCACACTTGTCAGAATGGCTAAAATCAGCAATACAAGAAGCAAAAAGTGTGGGCGAGGATGCAAAGAAAAAGGAACCCTTTGCACTGCTGGTGGAAATTTGAATTGGTGAAGCCACTGTGGAAAACAGTATGGAGCTTTCTCAAAAAGTTAAAAATAGAACTATCTTATGATCCAGTAATGGCACTACTGGGTATTTACCCAAAGAATAGAAAACCACTAATTTGGAAGGATATATGCACCCCTATGTTTATTGAGCATTATTTATAGTAGTCAAATTATGGAAACAGCTCAAGTATCCATTGATAGATGAATGGATAAAGAAGATGGAATATATATATTCCATCTTCTTTATCCATATATATATATATATATGTATATATATATATATAGCACTACATATATAATGGAATATTACTCAGCCATAAAAAGGAAGGAAATCTTGCCATCTGCAGCAACATGGATGGATCTAGAGAGTATAATTATAATGCTAAGTAAAATAATTCAGAGAAAGACAAATACCATAGGATTTCACTCATAGGTGGAATTTAAGAGACAAAACAAATGCAGAAAGGAAAAAAAGAGAGTGATAAGCCAAGAAACAGACTCCTAACCATAGAGAACAAACTGATGATTACTAGAGGAGAGGTGAGTGGGGTATGGGTGAAATAGGTGATGTGGATTAAAAAAGGAATAAAATAATTAGAAATAAATTTAGTAAGACTTATACACTGAAAATTACAAAATATCACTGAAAGAAATCAAAGACCTAATAAACAGAAAACATCACATATTAAGTTTATGGAAAAGTTAACATTATTAAGATGGCAGTACTCCTTACATTCTTTATTAACACCCCAGCCACCTGTTTTGCAAAAATTGACAAGCTGATACCAAAATTCGTATGTAAATTGGAAATACTCCAAATAACCAAAACAATCTCGAAGAAGAACAAAGTTAGATGACTCACACTTCCTGATTTCAAAACTTACTACAAAGCTACAGTAATTAAGACAGTGTGCTACTAGAATAAAGATAGGCATATAGATCATTAGAATAGAGCTAAGTAGTCATTTATTATCAATTTGTGGTCAATAAATTCTTTATAAGCATGCCACGCTAATTCAATGGGGAAAAGAATAGTCTTTCAACAACTGGTTAATAAAGTTGACCTGTACCTCACACTATACACAGAAATGAACTCAAAAAGCACCAAGGACTTAGTTGTAAAAGCTCAAACAACAAACCTCTTAGAAGAAAAGATAGTGCAAATCTTCATGTCCTTGAATCTGGCAGCAGTTTCTCGTGCAAAAGCACAAACAAAATGAGAGGTTTGTACTCTAAAGGATACCACACAGAAAGTGAAAAGACAACCAACAGAATGGAAGATATTATTTGTAAATCATACAAATAATAATAGTCTAGTATCCAGAATGTATAAAGAACGACTACCACTCAACAATGAAGACTAATAATGCAATTTTTAAATGGCAAGGATTTGAATAAACATTTCCCCAAAGAAGTTATATAAATGACAAATAAGCACATGACAAGATGTTCAGCATCATTAATTATTAGGGAATTGCAAATTAAACTATGAGATACTATTTCCCACCCACTAAAATGACTAGAATGAAAAAGACAGACAGTAATAAGTGTTGGTGAGGATGTGGAGAAATTGGAATCCTCATACATTACTGATAGGAATGTATAATGCTGCAATTGCTTTGGAAAACAGTTTGGCAGTTCCTCAAAAAGTTAAAAATAGTTATCATATGACCCAGCAATTCCACACCTAAGCAGACATCCAAGGGAAATTAATTTATATATCCACCCCCAAATTTGTATACAGATGTTGATAACATTGGTAATAATACAAGATTGTGAAAATAACACATATGTCCATCAACTCACAAAGAAACAAAATCTGATATAGCTATACAATGGAATATTATGCATCCATGAAAAAGAATGAAGTATTGATACATACTACAACATGGATGAATCTTGAAAATATTATGCTAAATGAAAGAAGCCAGACACAAAAGGCCTTGTATTGTGTGCTTCCATCTGTATGAAATGTCTAGAATATTCAAATCCATAGAGATAGGTGATCACAGATTGCCAGAAGCTAGGGGCAGGAGTGAGGCAATTACTTGGAAAAGATATTGAAGTAAGTAGATAAATTATGAGTGAGGACATGAAAGGAATTATGCCCTAATTATTAATTTTGCCTCTTTATTAGGGAACCCTTCCCAAAGCTAACATCCTCTCTTGGATGATGTTTTTAACTCTCTTGGATAATGTTTCCTGGAAAAAAAATAGTTTATGGCTGAGATCTTTGTCTAATTTTTTCCCTAAAAACAATTTTCCGAATCCCTTACATTGAACAAGACATTTTAAATAATTTCTCTTTTTCTGTTACCCTTCCAGGTGTTACCTCCAAACACAGGCTGCCTCCACATTGATAGGGATTGCTCAGCTATATATTGCCATGAATTAAGCAGTGATATATACCATCCTTTCCAAAAACGTGAGCAGCTAAGAGCTAGCAGGTACATCATGAAGCACACATCAGAGGTTATCTGTGAGGTCCTGGATCCTGAGGGAAATACCTTTCAGGTAAAGGGCATCATTAATATGGAGAAAGGGGCTGGATTTTTTTTTTCTTTTTTTTTTTTTTTGTAGATATTTCACCCCAGAGAGCTTCCATGAAGCTTTACACCATAGCTGCTTTGGGGTTAGTTACCCACTTAACGTCAGTACTTTGCATAAGCAATAATGAATGTCAACAATCTTTGCTTCTCAAGTGTACTTCCAAGGAGATAGAAAGTCAAACAGTTGGGATGGTAGAAATGTTAAGGCCAAATAAAGAATTAGAATGGAAGGGAAGAAGCATTACTAAACATTTAAAAATAATGTCAAACCAAAAAAAAAAAATGATATAAGACTAGTCTGTATCCAGGTTAAAGTGAGAACAGTTTTGCTTGACTGGGCAGAGAGTCCATGGTGAGAAATATTAACTGGTGTGGGTTCTGGTAGGGTTGAAGATGGGGAGGCGGGAGCAGTGTTTAGCTGCTGAATGGTACAACTCTATCTTCTATTTCTCTATCCTTCAACACCACAACTGTTCTCTTACATCCAGGCCAAACGCTGGCAAACCATGGCCACCTCTTTATGTAGGCCCATGAGCTAAAAATGGCTTTTGTATTTTTAAATGGTTGGAAAAACTCAAAAGGAGAAGAATATTTCATGACACATAAAAATTACAGGAAATTCAAATCTCAATGTCATAATACAGTTTTATTGGAACACAGCTATGCTCATTTGTCTTTGGCTGCTTTTGCACACAATGGTATGATGAGCAGTTGCAACAGAAACTGTGTGGCCTATAAATCCTAAAATATTTATTCCCAGGCCCTTGACAAAAAGTGGTTTGCCAACTCCTGCTCTGGGTATTTCTCCTTGTTTTCACTCCTCACCCAACAGCAGAATTTGTGTATCAGCTAATAAGTGGTGAACTTATTTTTCAGGTTTGGAACCATAACATAGAGCCCCTAACTTTGGTTTGGTATGCAGATTAGCCCTGATCCTGCTTGGTTTTTTGGTGTTCAATAAATGTGACTCTTCCCAGCATGAGTTCAGGCTGCTAACAAGTTTCCATTTATAGTGAACTGAAATTGAATGCTAAAGCCCTAAACCCTCTAGTTTTAAACACATGGGACATTCAGGCCAAGCATTCTTCTAGACATTAATGCTCTTCTAGGGTGTTCACGTCAGTGGTCTTTGAGCCTGAACCACACTCCTTCCTGGAGAGACCCATGCCATATCTAAATAGTAGTAATGGCTAGAACATTTCTTCTCATGCTGATACTACATTTCATGCAGCTACTAAATCTGATGCTGATACTAAAGATTTAGTACCATGAATCGTGATTCTGCACTTGCAACCACAGAATATAAACTTCTCCACACTATTACTTCCTTAATATTGCAAGACAGCTATCACATAAGTAGTCCTCCCTCAATGTTTAAATCCCCAGTTCCTTGACCTAATGCTCAAAAGAGAAGATTCTGAGTCCCCTGCCATCCTTGTCACCTTCCTCTGAGTATATTCCAGTCTGTCTTCCAGTTTGCAGTCACAGTCTAGGTGTGGCTTGTGAGTAGAGATATGCCACTGGGTTTTCACTTTTATTAATGCCAACTGTACTTAGTGCATATTACCTTGGAGATAAATATCCCTGATTCTCTGAATCTACCAAAAGATGACATGCTTTCTCAAATGGGAAACATAAGCTTCACGCCATTTCTTTTCTTTTAGTTGCCTATATACTTTGGTCCTTAGGTTATGGCTGATGGTAGCATATCAACTATGGCACCCAAAAACAATGTGGAGGAGGATTTAAGTGAAAAAGCTGAAGGTTATGATAATTTATCATCTACTCACCTTCATAAGAATCATCTCCTAATCTATGGTGAACACGTGCCTAGGTAATATGATAAAAATAATACTATGACTTCTGTTTTTTTTTTTAAAGATTATATTCGCTTACTTGAGAATGAGATAGAGAGAGCACAAGCAGGGAGGAGGCAGAGGGAGAGGGAGGAGCAGACTCCCCATTCAGCAGGGAGCCCAACTCGGGGCTCTATCCCAGGACGCTGAGGTCATGACCTGAGCTGAAGGCAGATGCTTAAGCCACTGAGCCACCCAAGCACCCCTGACTTTTATTTTAAATTCCAAGTGTAAGGAGCACTTAAACTAATATTTCAAGTGTTTTGATTTTATTGTTTCAAATAGGTTTTTTGTCATTTATGCTGATGGATCAGGAGTGGAACTTCTTCGTGACAGTGACATAGAAGAATATCTATCCTTGGCATATGGAGAATCATCTACTGTCGTTCTCCAGGAGCCAGTCCAGGAACAGCCAGGTAAGAAACCCAGAATGTCTGGAAGTTGTTGTGTCCCCTTACCAGCTCCCAACCTATTCATCCAGTCCACCCCTGTGTCAACTCTACTTTCTTCATTTTGCTCACTCTTCAACACTGCTTGCCACTTGGCAATGTCAACCTGTATCTACAGTTAATTATGTTCATTCCAAGTTTTATCTGAGCATCAACCTATGTAAACGGTGTATGAGTCCCTCTCCTACCTGCAAGCAAATTTGAATCTGTCTTTAGATATATTAGGTATGTAGCTATGATTCTATTTATATGTTCCTTTTGTCTTCAGTAGGGAAAGAAAGAAAAGTGAGATATTACTTGTAAGTTCACTTTTTTTTTTGTCATTTTGAAGTTATTGCCTTGATGAATTTAATATAATAAGAAAAAATATATATATTTGATGTGTGACTTAGAAAGCCAACCTGAAATATAGGATCAGTTATATTCATTGTGTATTTATATTATTCTCATCAATTTTAAAGAAATCAGTGTGTGGTTAAAGACTAGAGACACATAATACATTAAGAAAGAATCACCAGAGGGGCACCTGGCTGGCTCAGTTGGTGGAGCACACAACTCTTGATCTTTGGATTGTGAATTTAAGCCCCACACTGGGTGTAGATATTACTTTAAAAAAATCTTAAAAAAAAAAGAGAAAGAATTATCAGTGTATATCCTATGTATATTTAAACATAGATATAAACTTGGATGTCATTTGTGCATGAAACTAATGTTTTATGTCTAGGTTTATGTATGGTCCATTTTAATCTGTTCTCTGGTTGGTGGGATATAGTTTTACACTTATTTATGAATATACCTGCATCTCTGCACACTTAGTATATCTTTCAGTGTATCAGTGTACATTTACATCTTGCTCTATGTCTGTGAATATGGAGAGTGAAGAGCTCTGACTGGTGCAGTGCATGTGTAGAACTATATGAGCATTCATTGCAAATGGCTTTGTTAGTTATTTAACTAGCATCTGCTTGATAACCTACAATGTGCCAAACACACTGGCTCAGATAAAACTTGGAATGAATATAATTAACTGTAGATACAGGTTGACATTGCCAAGTGGCAAGTAGAGTTGAAAAGCAAGCAAAAGGAATAAAGTAGTGAGCTAAAGCAGTGTGGATACTGCCTTCATAGAGCTTAGAGTTGAACGAGAGAGATAGGCATTGATTATATAACATACGATAACTGTGATTATATGATTGTCAATTAGGATAAGGTCTTTGAAGGAAAGGAATATGTTTCCAGGAGAGCAGGAACCTGATGTAGTCTAGAAATCTTCCCTGAAGACACTGGAGCTAAGAACTGGTGGATAACTAGCTGTTGATTAAAACAGGAGGGAGAGATTTCTTGGAAGAGACAATGCAAAGCAGAAAGCAAAAAGCGACAGAAAACAAGGAGGAAAAGGCCGAAGTAGCTAAAGCATAGAAGGAGGAATGGTGTGAGTTGAGGCAGGATGAGAAAATACTGAGGACTTGGTTTTATTCCACGCACAGTGGGAGGTCAAAGAAATGTTTAAATCATGGCCTAACATGATCAGTCTCTCTGACCGCCAGAGGGATTCATTCACAGAGTAGATCTGGATAGAAAAGCTGGTTGTTTCTATAGCTCAGAACAGGATTTCTCAGAGACAAATTATCCAAGGTAGGTCAGTGGATGAGCTCAAGTGAACCAACCAGACTTGGATTTGGTTTTTGAAGGATAATAAGATTTCAGTTAATAATTCCAGGTGATCTAAACCCAATCTCTAGGTGTTAAAGTGGCTAAAATCCTCAATTTTCTTGTTTAGATCATAAGGTTCTTAAGTACAATCACTGTGTCTTGCTTATCAAAAAGTGTTTATCAAAGGTGCCTGGTTAGCTCAGTCAACCGTTAAGTGTCAAACTCTTGGTTTCTTCTCAGGTCATGATCTCATGGATCATGAGATAGAGCCCTGTATGGGGTTCCACACTCAGTGGGGAGTCTGCTGGAGATCCTCTCTGCCCCTCCTCCCACTTGTACACTCTCTCTCTCTCTCAAATAAATATTTTTTTAAAAAGTATTTGTTGAACTTTGTGAAAACCTACTGAATTTCTCAGAATCTATTTGATAGAGACATGATCCTCTGATAACTCTCTTTGACCCAGGTACCCTGAGCATCACTGTCCTTCGCCCTTTTCATGAAGCATCACCATGGCTAATGAAGAAAGAATTAGATACAATTGTTCCTCCTAATCTCCAGTCAAGGTCATGGGAGACATTCCCCTCCATTGAGGTATACATTTTTCCTTCTGGAAAGTCACTACACTTGTATATCCATCCATCAATTTTTGGAGTCTTGGGTCTTCTCTCATACAGTGACATATTTTCATTCTTTTGTAAATTGTTATTGGGCTCAGGAGATTTGTATTTGAAGACTCTAACATTTGTAGCTTTTAGAGAAATAGACCCGTCTAGCTAAATCTCAGTTTTATTTCTTTTAGCCTACATTGCAGAAATAGTATGAAAATATCCACTCTGAGTAATGCATGTTCTACCTCTCCTATCATGGAATTACTGATATCGGCCAATACAGAAATATTTCCTTCTCTCATTCCTTATCTGTTAGTTTTAACACACAATTTAGATCTTTCACACTCACTTTATCCCCTAATTTACTAATGCACAGACTGAAGCATGTAAGAATAATGTGAAGGATGTTACAAAGGATTTGCAACCACAATGTTAGAAAGTAAACACTGTAATTATGTCAGATTAGAGAAGCCCCACCTAAAGTCTTTCTAAAGATTGGAAGAAAACATCTTGAGCAAGAAACATGAAGTCCTGCATTGTGCAAGATTTGACATTTCATTTTGCAGGCAATTTGTGTAACATGTTCAGCATATTGTCAGATGTTAAATTATTAAATCAATGAGCACATTGATAAAATGATCAGAGAGACATACTAGTGTTAGGTGGGGAGGATAATGTTTTTGATGTATAATGAATTTTCCTTCCCCAAACAATCTGGTAAGATCAAGGGTGCAGATAATGAGCACTTAAGATAACCAAGACCTTGGGGGACCTGGGTGACTCAGTCAGTTAAGAGTCTGCCTTTGGCTCAGGTAATGATCCCAGGGTCCTGCTCAGTGGGAAGCCTGCTTCTCCCTCTCCCTCTGTCCCTCCCCTACTTCGTGCTTGCTCTCTCTCTCTTTCTCTCTCTCTCGCCCTCTCTCAAATAAATAAATAAATAAATAAATAAATATTTTTTTAAAAAAAAACAAAGACCTCTTAGTCCTATATTTTAATTGACTGTAACCAATATGGTGAATGAAGATGATCTGATTGTAGTCCTGAGTCTTCCAATTATTAATGTGGGATTTGGGACAAGTCACATTGGCTCTCTACTTCCTGAAAAATAAAAAGGCCACACCAAATGGCCCACTAAGGCTATATCCAAGCTGAAAGTAGTGATTCACGACCAATAACATGCCACATCTAAGATTAATGAAGGACACTCATTCTCTTCCTCTGCAATTCCTAAAGCTCTGACCTTCTCTGCCCAGTAGCAGTGGCTCTGCCCAGGTGAACCTCTGAATGGTTATCACTGACCAGGCATCAGAGATTGAATAGCAGCTTACAAAGAAGCACATCAGAGATTCTACCAGACATAGGGCATCCAAGCACACTACCCCCGAAAATCAATTATAAGAATAATATAAAGATGTGAATTTGCTCTGATGTAGACATCCATGCCCAGTAGACATGCATACCCAGGAGACTCTGGGGACATGCTTAATCTAGAGTGAGCTCAAAAACTACCCAAATCTATGGGATGATTGCTCTCTTAATCTCTCTAGGTCAAAATGAACATGAAAACAGGAAGTTAAAAACTGCTTATTCCAAATGTCTTAGGCTACTTGTGGGTAGTAAGCAATACCCACATACATTAGGCATAAGCTAAGCTACATTTCCATGATACCACATTGCTTACTACTCCCCTAAAGGCTATCCAGTGGGACATAGTGCTGCAGGATTTTAAAATATCCAGATTCCTGATAACACATATAAAAAGGAAAGCTTGCCCAGTTCTGCTACCAATTTTCCTTATATTCGAGAAACTTTCAGGGAGCAGGGATTTTTTGTCTTTTTACTATTGTATTCCCTAATAAGTGGTTCTTAGCATAGTATCTACATAAATAAGGGCTCAGCAAAAACAAATAAATAAATAAAATTAATATTAGGACTTTTTTTTTTTTTTGGTTGGTTGTTTTGCTTTGTTTTAACAGAAAAAAACTCCTGGACCTCCACTTGGCACTCAAATTTGGAAGGGCCTTGACGTTGGGTCCAAACAGCTAGTAAGTGCCCCAGCCCCTATACGCAAGAGTCCCAAGGTGCTACAGATGCGCCAGTTCATCCAGCATGAGGTCATAAAGGATGAGGTGAAATTGAAGTTGCAGATTTCTCTTAAGGTAATGGAAGTCAGGTAACTTGACCGAGAAGAATCGGGAACAGGGCAATTATTCCTCTTGGTTTCCTGAGGAACCTGAAATTATGTAATTCTCCCAGTATTTATTTAATGCAACACATGAATGTCAATTTTCCAGAGGGTAGGACGTTAAGAGGTAGAAAATAATGGTTCCCAAAAGGTATAGGAAGTATTGAGGCCCTGAGACATTGAAAAGATAAGTAAGTTCTACATGTGATTGCCATATAGAGTCCACCTTCTTTCTTATTGTATGGGAAACTGGTTTAATGACCTCTGGAAAAAGGTAGAGCTGTTTATTAATCTGATACTTGTCCATGGAAGAAAAGTACTGTTGGTTTTTGGAAATGGTCTAAGAATTTGTAAATATATAGTCAATTGTATAAACTGCATCTGTAACATCTCACTGTCTACTTTGTTAACTGTCTCAGAATGAGATCATATGTGTTTTGCTCAAGGTTATATACCTAGCACCTCGCATAGAGCAAGGGACCATTTATTTATGAGCATAAGTACTTATGGGCTCCTGGGTGGCTCAGTCATTAAGCGTCTGCTTTTGGCTCAGGTCATGATCCCAGGATCCTGGGATTAAGCCCCGCATCGAGCCCTGCATCGGATCCCTGCTCAGCAGGAAGCCTGCTTCTCCCTCTCCCACTCCCCCTGTCCCCCTGCTTGTGTTCCCTCTCTCACTGTATCTCTCTCTGTCAAATAAATAAATAAAATCTTTAAAAAGAAAGAAAGAAAGAGGGGGGGGGGGGGGGGGAAGCAGACTCCCTGCTGAGCAGAGAGCTTGATATGGGGCTCGATCCCAGGACCCTGAGATCATGACCTGAGCTGAAGGCAGAGGCTTAACCCACTGCACCACCCAGGTGCCCCTTGAGATCTTTTTTGTTTCTTGAGGAAGACTTGTAGTGCTATGTACTTCCCTCTTAGGACTGCCTTTCTTGCATATCAAAGATTTTGATCAGTTGTGTTTTCACTTTCATTTCTTTTCATGAATCTTTTAAATTCTTCTTTAATTTCCTGGTTGACCCATTCATTCTTTAGTAGGATGCTCTTTAACTTCCAAGTATTTGAGTAACTTTTGTGTTAGATGTCCTTCTTCTAGGTTCCCATGGAGCACTGTATTTCCTTTATCACAGACTTAACACATGACATTGTACCTGAGGGTTTTTTCATTTGATCTACCGATTGCAAATTCCTTGTAGTCTTCATCATTGGTTATCCAATTCATAGTACATGGTGGTAGGTACTCCATAAATTTTTACTGAATGAGTAGATGGATGGGGATGAGAGGGAGGAGTTTCCAGCTCCCTATAACTGGATGCCATTCACTTATTTATATACTGTACTTCCTATGGGTGAGGAATCTTGCTGGCACTGAGCCACAATGATGAATAAAACCATGGCACATCTATTCAAAAATCTCATTGTCTAGGGTCACCTGGATGGCTCAGTCATTTGAGCACCTGACCCTTGATTTCACCTCAGGTCAAGATCTCAGGGTTGTGAAATCAAGCTCCACATTGGGCTACACACTCAGTGGGGAGTCTGCTTGTGATTCTCTCTCTCCCTCTTCCTCTGCCTCTTCTCCCCTCTTTTTTCCTCTCTCTCTCTCTTTCTCTCAAATAAATAAATATATTTTTTTAAAAAACTCATTGTCTAATGGGAAAAGAATAAATAAATAACTGCTGAATTGCTAGAAATTATATATAAACATAGTACTGGGAACAGTTAGAAAATACTTCAGAGAGAAAGTATAGTATCTGAGGTGGGATTTTAGAGATGAATGGTAACTATCCAGACAAAGCAACAAGGAAAGGGAATTCTTGACATTAAGAACCATTGTGTATAAACATACAATTGTGTAAAAACATAGCATCTTTACAGAAATGAGAGAAATTGAGTGTGGTTGGAGTGGTGGAATGTCAGTACTCAATGCCCCATAAGATCAATGAGTATCAGAGGTGTTTAAATAAAGGATGAGAAGTGATATAATTGGATTTCATATTAGAAATATAATTTTATGATAGTTTCGAAAGTACACTGAAATGGCAGTGTTGGAGGTCCCATACCAGTTTGGGAACTTGTTGTAGAAAATCAAGTAAAAGATCAATGAGAATATGAGGTAAGTTAGGAACAGGTAGGAGAGGCATCATTCAAGAGAAATTTCTGATGGCTTGTTGACTGGTTGGATGTATGAGGTCAGTCAAAAAGAGAAAATGCAAATACCTCACTGTCTAACTTGGGAAATGAGATGCTTGATTGCTCATTAAATGAGATTAAGTACATAGGAGGCTTTCCTTTCCTAGCAGAAGAGAGACTTACTGAGTTTGAAATGTATCCAGTACCACAACCAGGGAGAGATATAGAAAGGCAGTTGGACATATTAATCTGATGCTGAGAAGAAAGGTTATGCCTTGTGATATAAATTTTGGAGTCATCAGCATGCAGATGAGAGTTAGAGCCCCAGTAGTGAGTGAGATACTCAGATCTACTATACATAATAAAAGTGCTCAGTTTTGACTGTATCACAATCATGTGTGATTTTTCATAAATATAAATACCTGTGCCTCATCCCTAGAGAGTGTGATTCAGTGGGTCAAGATGGGGGCCTGAGCTTTTTATAAAAAATTCAATGAGTTATCATTATAAGCAGCCAGAGTTGAGAACATCCACTGTGAGCATAAAGGGAAAAACCCCTGGAATCTAATGACATTTAAGGATTCACAAAAGAGGAAGAACTAGTAAAGGAGACAGAAAAAAATTGTTCAGAGAAGGAAGAGGAAATACAGGGAGAGTATTATCCTGGAACCCAGAGGAGAATAGAATTCCTTTAACACACCAGTGATGCTCAGAAGATTGTGACAAAATTCCTTCAGAGATCAACTTGCTTTTGAGAATTCCAGCAATATTTTTAGATACAGAATAAAATTAATCTTTTACAACTTCTAAAACTTCTTTTTATCAACTCAACTAGAAAAACCTCTTTTCTGAATTTCTTTTTTTGTATCCCTTATTATTTTCCTATTTAATATGTCCTTGTATTAAAGCTATTTGAGTATAATTATTATTAAAATATTTTGGTTTCATAGGGTCTTTTATATATATTTTGTCATTATTGCCCACTGTTCCAAACATGTTGCATATAGGAACCTTTCAAAAAATATTTCTCAAACAGATGGTTGTTGCACTATCTTTAGGAGTTCATAATCTAGATGGGAAGGCAAGAACATGTGAAATAATGATTCAATCAAATATATCAAAATATTAAGTACCTCAGATTTTTAAACTATAATTCTCATTTTTAAATCAACTATATTACCCCTGGAATTTATGTGACTGAAAAATCATTTTCAGCAAGGTAAAAATTGTTGCCAGCTGGTATAAATGCATGGAAACATGTTTGTGGTGTAAACATTTATATATTTATTTAACAAACATAAAATATGAATTCCAATTTACTTGTTTTCTCCTTTTTTCCTGTTATAGAGGATAAGGATCCTAATTTGGAAGCAATGTTGAGTATCCCATCAGCTCTTACTACAACAGTAGTTCCTCTTATAGTGACTGTTCCTCAAAGCAAAGTGAAAGGAAAAACAAAAGGCAAAGAAAAACCTAAAGAATCTCTTAAAGAAGAGGAACACCCAAAAGAAGAAGAGAAAAAGGTACATGGACTTACCATTGATTCCTAAACCCTACTTCTACCTCAGTTTTAACTTTTTTAAAATCATGAGTTACACCAACAGTATCATTTCAGTACATGTATATTGTTGTGCAGATGTATTAACATTCCTTGAAGTTTCAATTTTGAATGAAAAGAAGAGATTTGTACACAGGAGTTGGATCCCTACACCAGGAGACATATTGTCATGTACAAACTGATTCAGGTCTTCCATTCTAAACTCAGAATGAAGAGCTCACCCTTTTTTCCACTCTGGTTCTTTGTTTTTGGTTGGTTATGTTCCTACCATTCTCTAAATACTTTATTTAGTTTTGTTAGATAAGCAACAATTGAAAGAAGAACATTTCAAATTAAATAGGAAGTACTTCCATTTGGTAGATTTGGCCTTAGATATTGATGTGCTACAGGGCTTCTGGCTAAAGAGCAGTTCACCCTCTACTTCCAATACCACCAAATGCAGACACTCACAGAGGCTTTGATTCCAAATGTGTTCCTAATACCAGAATACAGATCAAAAGAATACAGACAAGAAGGAAATCACTAATGAAATCTTGAAAATTTGCTTGGTGAGCTGTACAGTTTGTACAGTGTACAAATTCTCAACTTATTCGAAGAAAAAAATATTAAAAAGTGACCAGAGCTATTGATTTCAGACCTTGGCCCTCTAAAAGTTCTGGTGTTTGTACGTTACTTAACCTCTGCACCATATTTATTTAGCTATACTGGATGACTTTTCTCAATCAGGGTACTTGACCCTTATTAAGTAAAAATTTTACAGTGTTGAGCAGAATAACCTTAGATAATTCATTAATTTACTGAAAGCAATCTGATAACCAATCAGTTCTCCCATAATTTTTAATAAGTGACAATAATAGAAGCGTGGGAGATAATTACTGATTTTATGTGTAATGATAAATTTGTCATGGCAGGTTCATGTCTTTGAACATTATTGTTCATTTTACAGAACTTCATAATTTTTCCTCTTAATTTTGCTTTGTGTTTAATTCTTTTAAAGATTTTATTTATTTATTAATTTGAGATAGAGCAAGAGTGAGAGAGAAAGAGAGAGAGAGCACAAGCAGGGGAAGTAAGAGGCAGAAGGAGAAGCAGTCTCTCCACTGAGCAGGAAGCCCAAAATGGGGCTCAATCCCAGGACTCCAGGATCATAACCTGAGCTGAAGGTAGATGCTTTACTGACTGAGCCACTCAGGTGCCCATTACTTTTTGTTTTTAATTGACTTTTGGCTAACTATTCCAAATTTATTATTTGTTAGTAACAAAGGCAGAACAACCTAAGTGAT